GGGCCCAGCCGCCCTTCTCGGCAGCCTCGGGGCTGGTGCAGGGCCGGGGACACGAACGCCCTGCGCTGCCCGCAGCTGGGCGCCAGCTCCACACTGTCTGGAAAAGAAAACAAAACGTAAAAATTAAAATAAAAAGCAAGGGAACACAATTATCGTCTGGAAAGCCCTTGGGGTCCGGAGCAGCACCCTAAGGCACTTTAGGGCGAGCAGAGCAGGCCGTGGTGGCTCTGGCCCCCTCCTGCCGCCTCCCCTTGTGTTCCGCACGGAGAGGGCTGGGGACCCCCGCCTCGCCCCCTCATCCCAGGTACCGGGCCCCACCATGAGCTGCTCCGTGCCCGGAGCGGCAGCGGCGGCAGCCCGGCTCCGGCGGGTCCCTCACCCAGCCAGCCAGCAGGTGCCCTCTTTGGTGACAACACACAGATACACAGGCACAGGTGGCCGTGCGGATCCTCACGGAGCCCTCCGTCCCCGGAGCAGCAGGACGGGCCGCGCTGCGGACTGGGGCCGAGGGCTGCGGACAGCGGGACCACGGCCGGAAAGAAGGGCTGAGGGATGAGAGCCTGCGGGAAAGCGGGGCTGAGGGGTGAGAGCCTCGGGAAAGCGGGGCTGAGGGGTGAGAGCCTCGGGGAAGCTGGGCTCCCTTGCTGAGGTGGCTGTAAGAGGCAGCGGGGCGGGATCTAAGGAGGAGGATGAAAAAGCTTTGCCCGCATAAGCCCAGAGGAAGAGGCTAGCCTGGCCAGCATCGGAGCCTGGTCCTTCCTTCTTCCCGGAAAGAAGGGGAGCGGGTCAGCTTCAGTTCTCTGCAAGCGCTTTCGTTACACGAGGAACGCGTTTTAGCAACATTCGATATTTATTCCCGAGGAAAGGCTCAAAAGAAAGGACAGCAAAGCCGCCGCACCGTGCAGCTCAGGCCTCAGCCTGTGCCCGGCAGGAAGCAGGAGCCAGAGTGCAAGGCGGCAGGTACCAGCTTAGGTCACTAAAAAAGCTCCACTCCTGAAATAAAGATGCAGCCTTCATCCCGCTGGGGGAAAAAAAATGTTGGGGGAGATTAGCACGAGTACTTTTTTCCCCTCACTCCCCCCTTGCAGTGGTATTATAAATAGGTCGCCTTCAGATCTCGGTCCAGTACAAAAGGAGCCCATAGGTCTGAAGTGACCACACAAACCAATCTGTTGGGGAAATAAATTCGAAACAGTTTTCAAGAGCAGGGCTCTGCCGAAGTGCCAGGAGGGAACGGTGTGAAAGATCTCTCCTCTCTCCATCTCCCTCTCCAGTGAAATGACCCCGCTCCCTAAACCGAGGTATTTCCTCTGGGGTGCTGCATCCGGCACCCCGGACTCCTGCCATGGCTCTCCTCCGCCATCTCCCCGCCGCTCTGGCTGCAGCCATCGGGAATACAAGGAGGGAAACCCCTCAAGACTCGGGTTTCCCTCGGCGGTGGCTGGGAAAGTGGGGAAGAGCATTCTTGCCTCCTCCCCCCGGCCTCCTGCGAGAGCCGTCCCGCCTGCGCTGCCGCGCCCGGTGCGCAGGGAGCAGCGGAAACCTCCGCTTTTCCCCCCGACTTAACACAAGCTTGGGTGTTTAAATCACACAGGAATAAAGATTTATTTTTCTTCCAGAAATCGAAATGCAGGATATGCCCACCATCGCCTGCGCCTCGCTCCGGGTCCTCACCCGGGAGTGACGCCCGCCCTTGCCTCGGCGGAAAGGAAACAGCTCTTCGGAAACAAGCTAGTCAGGGCTGCTCTGGGCTGTCCCTTCTCCCTGGGGTGTCGCCGGCAGGCGACACCTGGAAGGCCCGGAACTGCAGATTCCTGGCGATTCCCGCATCCATTACTCGGTCGGTGTGAGCTGCCGTCCATACAGGCGGGAGCGGCTGGCTCTCACACGGGCTCCCGCAGCTCGGGGGGAGAAGGGACCCTCGGGAGTGACCTCTTCCGAAACCAACAGGGACCATTCCTGAACATTTTCTCGATATAAAGCCCATGTACACATGGAAGTGACAAACGGCTCCTACGGAGCGCAGACCTTCCGGCCGCTCTTTTCTCCTTCCCTTTTGGACGCATTTGATGCGGAGACAGGGCAGGTTTGGGGTCACTCGGAGGAAAAACGATGAGACCGCGTTTCAAACGGTGCGCGTCCCTTTGCGCCCTTGCTCCGCGGATCCTGGGTCCCGCAGTGGAGGATGCGGAGCGAGCGGGCGGCAGGACGCCGCGGCCGATGGACACGCAGCTCCATCGCCTCGCTGAGCGGGAGGGCGGCTACAGGCTCCCTGTGTGCTTCGGTACGCGCAAGGCTCCGCTCCCGGCTAACGGGGGCCGGGAATCCCCCGTCACACTTGCTACACGCCAAACCTAGTCCAGCTAAACGAAAACAGTCAGAAAAAGTGATTTCCCGATTATTCCCCCCCACGCCCGCTAGATCGCCAGGTATTTGCGTACATCCTTTCCCCCGGTAACGATTCCCGAATTAACCTTCCGCTTCTAGGGATGCAAATTGGCTCTTAGGCAGAGGGTTCCATTGCTGTCCTTTCCGAAGGCTGCGGATTAGCCCTGATTTGAAGTTACTGGATTTTTCGTTATAATTTAATGCAAGGAGGGGATAGCCGAGACTTCTGGCCAAAGGAACCCTGGGCAGCTCTCCTTCGGTTCGGCCACGCTGTACTGCCTCTGCGAGCCAGCACATTGCAGCGTTTCTGAATAAAAATGTTACATATATATATACACACACACACATATATACACACACACACACACACATATATATACAAATACATATGCGTGTTTATAATCTCCAGATCTCTCCCTTTAGTTTTTTGCTGTTGTTTAACTTCGCCGAAGAGAAATCCCGAGGCCGAGTATAATGCTGTATCATCGAGAACTGCCCTCACATAATTTCTTTCAGGCTTCTTTTTATTTCCCCCAAAACATTGCGGGGAAAGGAACCGGGGAACACGTATTTAAAGTGCCCCTCCGGCGTGAGAGACGCTGCGAGTCCGCTGCGGAGGAGCGAGGGATGCGGGAGCCGAGGTGCTCCCGGTACCCAGGGCAGCTGCCCTTCGGCGGAGCCGCTCGCAGGCTGCCGGTACCGGCAGAACGCAGGCTCCCTTGGCCGCCCCGAAGCGGATTTTAGAAAGGCTTTCATGCATTGAGCTGGTTTGGTTTTTATTATGTCGTGGACGAGGGAAAGAATGGGGCCTGCAGTGGGGTGGGCGAGTTTGGGAGGGGAGAAAGAAAGGACGAGAAAATAATTAAGTAGAGGTAATAAAGAGAATAAGGGAGGCAAATCCGCTGAAAGCTTTCTCGGACTAGAAAACTCAGCGAGCCCGGCCCTGCTCTGAGGGAAACTCGCAAAATGGTTTAAAATCTCGTAAATGAATCCGTCTCTGGCTGTTTTTAATGACGACGTCGCTAGAAATCCCTTCTGCATCTGGGGGGCGAGGGGTGGGCGCCTATTCTTGTCAGATCCGAGCTAATGAAAACGGCAGTGCCGCTCTTGCCCGTGGAGCAAAGGCCTGGAGGGTGGCGGTGGCCACGGGCCCCTCCCGAGCCGTCGTCTCGGGGGTCACATTCCCATTCTGCCGTCCCGCTCCCCCTTGAGCCGCATCCCGCTCCCCCCGCCCCAGATATACACACACTCAGATGAAAGCCACGAGTGCCCCCGCTCTGCACGGGGTGCGGGAAGCCACGCGGGACAAGGGAGCACACACGGCTCGGGCCCGAAGGGAGCCCGCAGGGAGCCCAGAGCAGCAGCGGTGCCCCCGCTCCCCGCCCGCGCTCCCGAAGGGGTTAACCTTCTTCTTGTCTTCCCTTTCTCTTACTCGTTTTTTCTTTTATTTCTTTAAACTTTTCTTTTCTTTTCTTTTCTTTTCTTTTCTTTTCTTTTCTTTTCTTTTCTTTTCTTTTCTTTTCTTTTTTCTCATTTCTTCTGAAGAACTGTGGATTTAGTTTGCGTAATATCTTTATTACTGAAAACTTCAAGGTAAGTGAGCAATAGAAACCAGATGTGGGGATGGGAGGAAGGCAGGGTAAGAGTAAGTAAGGGGTAGCAGGAGTTAACTGGGGGAGGAGGGGAGTCAGGTTGAATGGGGAGTGGGGGGGGGGGGGGGGGGGGGGGAGAGGGGGGGGGGGGGGGGGGGGGGAAGGACGACGAAAGGTGAGTATTGATTTATTTTTAAGCTCTTTCTGGGTTGTAATTGACCCCTCAAACCAAAAAGGGCTCCTGCCAGCCTCTGTCCCTTTGCAAGTCACCTCTGGCAATCCCAGAAAATTGGTCCAATTCTGTGTGCTTGGTGACTCTGTTAAAATCCGTCCCTGGCGCCCTCCCGTTTTGGAGTCAGTAGTTTTATACCTGAAGAGAGCACGTTTTTAGAGGTAAATAAATAATGACCGCCATAAACGTGTGGCGAGACCCGACGGAGAGCTCGCCCGGCTCCGTGCGGGGCGACGGCGGCACCGCCGTGCCACGGCAGGGAAACAGCTCACGGCACGCTGGCACAGCTGCCGGCCCCGAAGGGGTTAACGGGCGGGGGGAGGCTTAAAGGCAGATAGCTGCAGGGAAAATCCGTATTGCCTTTAACAGAGAGAAGGGGTCGCAGAGGCGAGGGTCCCCACAGCTGGGGCAGCGAGCAGAGGCGAGAGCGGAGTGAACAGAGCATGTCACGAGCATTAAATCGTCCCCGGCTCTTCCGCCGGCGCGGATCCCGCACTCATCCCTTCGTGGAGTTTATGTCATCTACTTGATTTTCTGGTTTATAATCATAAAAATTTTGGGGCTGGTTTGTTTTTATGGTTTGGTTTATTTTTAATTTTTTTAACGCAAAAGATATGACCTCCACCTTCCCCCTGCTTCCACACACCCCCACAGACACACACACACTCACATACACCCCTTCCTAGGCCCCCTCCCCTCCACTGTCATCATCTACATATTAATTGGGGGAGAGGTCTCCCTCTCTCTCTTTTTTTTTTTTTTTTTTTTCTTATGTGGTTGGGGGGGAAAGCCCAGAGAGGAGCCTCTTTAGAATGTAGTTTGGAGGGAGACACGGAGGGCAAGCGTATGTGAGAGAGGGAGGGAGGGAAAGAAAAAGACCCCTTTTACTGTGCGAGAACTTAAGGGGGTTTGGAGATCTGGTCAGCTTTCACAAACATCTGAATCCTCTTAGAGCTCCCCGGCCCAGCTGTGAGTGTGTGTCTATGCGAGAGGGAGAGAGAAAGAGTGGCTCCTGGTGCCCCTCCAAGCGCATTAAGGACACTCGGGCCTTTTAATTTTAGGAATGAATGCTGATACTTGTGTTTCTTATTGTGATCCGGCTGCCATGGATTCCTACTACAACGCAGCCTCCCAGGACACAGAAGGCTCCTCGCCTTTTAGGGCATTTCAAGCAAGTGACAAGTTCAGCCCTACTTTCCTGGCCAGCAAAGGACAAGGCTTTGGTGACAGCAGCACTAAGTGCCGGAGCCGCTACAGCCAGCAGGAATGTCAGTCCCTGGATGGCAGCGTGCAGGCTCCCGGCTCTGCCGGGTCTCCGGCTCCCTTTAACAAATACCCGCAGCAGCAGCAGCCGCCGCACCTCTACATGCAGCGAGGCCCCTGCAAAACCCCCCCGGACAGCAACATCAAGCTGCAAGAGAGCAGCGGCCACAACGGAGCCCTGCAGGTCTCCTGTTACGGTGAGTCCTTGGCGTGCGGCGGGGAAGCGCCGGAGGCGAAAGCGGAGAGAGGCTCCCGGGCCTGGGAAGGACCTCCCGGGAATGCGGGGGGCGGCTGCCCGGCAGGACAAACCCTGCCGGGGTCAAGGAGACCTTGCCCGGCTCTCGCCACAGCGGGGGCCGCCGTGCCCCACGAGTTCCTTCATTCCCAGCCGGGTCTGGAGCCCGCGGTGCCCGCGGGAAGCCGCCCTTCCCCCGTGTCCCGCTTAGCCCTGATCTTAATCGTAGTTTGGGGTTGCGGGCGATGCGCTCCCGCAAAGCGTTAGCTCTTGTGCGATGCGGGGAGCTCCGCGGAAACCGGGACGGAAACAGAGAGGGAAGGAGCGGAGCGCCGGGCTGTGCCGTGTACTCTCCGCGGGGACCGTTTTCCGCAGAAAGAATTTCTGGAAAATTTCGCCGAAATCATCATTTTCGCGGTAACGGCCTCTCCTGTCTCTCACTTTCTCCCCTAGTTGCCACTCCCCTAATTGATTTCTGCCCGGCTGCAGATAACCCCCTCGCATCCCCTCCGTGGGTCATTAGCGGCAATTAAGACACTCCCTCGCGCTGGCGCTCGACAGAACAGCCGGGAACGGGGGCGCTTCTCATGTCGTTTCCGACCGTGGCTTTAAAAGGGTTTTTCGGGAGGTTTCCGCTGTATCGGGGCAGTTAGGGAAAAGCAAAACAAACAAACAGCTCCCCCTTAAAACAAACAGAAAAATTCCACGATGAAACAAATAAACGCCCCTAAGTTTTCCTTAGAAGGTGGAAATGAAAGCTCTTCCTTTCCCTCCCGGTGATCTCTCTCTGGGCAGAGGGGATGTCCCGGCCTAGATTCAGAGCGCGTCTCCGCTGACGGGGTCTCATTCTCGATGTGTTAGTCCCAAAGGCAAGGACAACTATAGGACCGTGTCTCCGGGGAGACCCTAAGACGGACAGTGACTACGGACTGGGGGCACAGAGGACGTGGAAGAGGTCCGGGTCAGGCCAGCAATCCCATTTCTAGGCTCCCGCCGTCATTTGAGCACTCTTCGCTCTGTTTACCTTTTTCCTCCATCTCTAGACTTGAAAGAGGGTAGAGGCGCCTTACTTACTTCTGCCTGTCTCCCAAAGCCCGGCTTGCGAGGTCACCTTCAGGCGCCATCCCTCGCCCCCGGCTTGCAGCTGAGGTGTCCCCGGATCCAGCTCCACAGCCCCAGTTTCCCCACGCACAGGTGACTCCCCACCACAGGAAAAGGACATTAAGTCCTCTCCACACAGCCGTGCCCGGGAGCCGCAGGCACAGCGCAGCTCCTGCCCGGACCCGCGCGGTCCTTCCCGCTGCCGGCGGCACAGCCATCCTCCCGCGGGTGTCTCCTCACCGGGCCGGGCAGTGCCATGACGGCTCTCTTTGGGGGCTGCTTGCGCACATTTGCTGACCAGAACTGACCCTCTCTTACGCTCCCTCTCTTCCCCTGCCCTTTCCCCGTGGGCGGACAGCCCCCACCGGCGCCAGGCCCGCTCCGCATCCGCGGAGGCCCTCGGGGGCCAGCCGGGCTCCGCGGGAAAGGACGCACGGTGGCACCGGGGGGACCTGCGGGGCTGCGGCCCGTGCAGGAGGCAACCGGTCCCCGCTCCCTCTGGGAATGGGATCGCAGGTCAGTCTCCCGTGCCTTCCCCGCCGCCCCGGCATCCTCTCTCTGCTAACCGGCTCTCTTGTTTTTGTAGGTTGCAAGGCCCAGGGCGCCGGCATAGCCTGTGATGACACATCACAACCCCCGGTAGAATCACACGAGTTTATTGCCTTCCTGACACCGCCGGGTTTCCCCCGATTTATTTTCAAGCGAGGCTCGGGGTTCTCCTCCAGTGGGAGCCCCGCGGCGGCGGCGGGTGGCCCGGCCCGACCCGGCCCAGACCGCGCTCGTTGTGAGCCCCTTGTGATGTGGCTGGGGACGGTGGGCTGTAATGAGAGACACATGGTTCGGCAAGGATAATTAATAGCAATAGCGGTAATAATAGTGCTTAATGGTTGAAGAGAGACACTCGCTAATAACAGACAGATCAGGGTTTCGCGGAGCGACTGCAACATCCATGGGCGCCTCTCCGCCTTTTCCCAAACCGCGAGACCTCCGCGCCGGGCGCAGGAGTTGCGCCCGAGGAGCCCCCGCGAGGGCCAAAGGGACAGGGAAACCTCGGAGTCGGGGTAATGCCTTTGGAGCGGGTGAGCCCGGGCCAAGGGAAAGCCGCCCTCGCTCCGTGCAGCGGGCACAGGCGCTCGGGGCGGTGAGGAGAGCTACCCGAGAGGCTCGCTCGGGAAGCCGGGGACAGGCGGCTGTCCCACTGCTCCCCGCCGGCACCTCCGCAGCTTCGGCGCTGGTGCTGCCGTGCGCCTTGTGCAGAGGTGAAGGAGCGCGTCGGGGACCGCTGGCTCCCCGCGTCCCCTGCTGTCCGGGCCTGAGCAGGATGCTGGAGTGGTGGGACGCCGTGACCGTAAACCCCTCAATTTTAAAAACAACAAAATCCCAAAAGAAGAGGAAAAAAAAAAACAAACCCAACTAAGCAAAACACAAAGCGGGGCCAGCCAGCAGGCAGGCTCTCCTGCCGGGCCATACCCAGGCGCTGTGGCGGGCCCATCGCCCGGCGGATGCTGGAGTGGTGGGACGCCGTGACCGTAAACCCCTCAATTTTAAAAACAACAAAATCCCAAAAGAAGAGGGAAAAAAAAAAAAAACCAACTAAGCAAAACACAGCAGGCAGGCTGTCCTGCCGGGCCATACCCAGGCGCTGCGGCGGGCCCATCGCCCGGCCCGGTCCGGTCCCCTCCTGGGGGTGCTGCTCCCCGCACGGCGGCCCCGTAGCCCTCGCCTCCGCCTTTTCCCTGGTCGCTGTGGAGGCCCGGGAGAGCCGGGAGTCGAGCGGGGCACGGCGGGCATGGCACACACTCCGCGTGCCAGAGGGACAGGGTGTCCCCTCCTTTTTTTAGTTGCTTAATTTCATTTTATTTCTTTAATAAACAAGTCTTTTTGAGTTATAAAAAGCCCGAGCCTGCCATCTATTGCTCTCGGCTTCTATTTCTAGATCTAAGACCTTCCACTGCATTGTACGGATAAATATAGGCCAGGGAGAACTGCGGCCGTAAATACACGGAGGACACGGACGGCGATCGTCGGAGCGCTTCCAGCCCGGCTTCTGGCAGGGACAGCGGCACCGGGCGGCCCTGGCTCTCGGCCGGGCGCCCCGCGGCCCCCTGCAGTGGCGGCTGCCAGCCTGTCCCTAAGGCTCCTTCTGTGCCTTCCCGGAGCCCGCTGCCCCTGCCCTGCGACGGGCCGGCAGCCTCGCACTGCTCACCCCGCGTTCCCTGCCTCGGACAGGGGTACGGGTTGTTCCACAAACAGGCACGGGCAGTGAAAGCCAAATTCTTAAAAAAAACAGTCACAGAATGAGAGAATCTTCAAGGCTGGAAGAGACCTTAAAAATCATCTAGTCCTGAGAACAGGTTATATATCTTGGCTTAGGAGGGGAAAAAGCTTTCGGATGATTTATGTGCTGTAGTAATCTGACTTGCTATTTCTACTGCGTGGAGCTGAAGTAAGTTATATTTCTTGAAACATATGTATTCACATACCCCTATACACACAGAAATGTATACTTATATTGCTGTCTAGAAATACCGGCTGGAACAAAATCCTTTCGGGAGTGAAGGCGAACAAATGTGATGGGGATGTTTGCTCAAAGGAAACAGGAGAAAGGAAACGGCTTTCTCTGACAGAGGAAATTCTTTAAGTACCCCGTTATGCAAATAACGACCTTTTTTTAAATTTTTTTTTTAAATTTAGCTAGCAAATAAAAAGTGCGGCCGTACGTGCGTTATTATTTGAAGTACAGAAAGCCACTGCTGTGGGAATCGGAGGCTCGCTGCGTGCTTTTTTAAATTGACACTTTCAATGGTTTTCTCCTCCTCCTCGTTCCCTGATGCAACGCAAGCTGCAGGACGAGCTCGCCGGCGGTCCCTCTCCGCCTCCCGCGAGGGACGCTCTGTGCCCGGCGCTCGGGGCTCCCCGCACAGCCCCCGCCGACGCTCAGGGCTCCGCGGGCTCGCCGCTCGCCGCGCAGGGCCCCCTTCCCCCGGCTGCCGCACAGCCCCGCTCCCGGAGAGGAACGGGGGCCGTGTGCTCCCCTCGGGACTCCCGCGGGCTCCCCGCCTCGGGCGGTGCCGTGTCCCCGCACCGCGGCCGGGCCGCTCCGCTGAGGATCTCCGCAGCAGCGGCTCGCCAGGAGGGGATGGCGGTCCCTGCCCCTCGCCCGCCGAGAGGCCGGGCTGCAGAGGGCTTGGCGAGGGGTGTCCCGAGCTGCGGCGGCCCTTCGGTCCTGCCTCCCCTTCCCTCTTCCCTCGGCTTTGATCTCGGCTCCTGCCCGGGCTCCTTCGCCGCGGCCGAGAGCGCAGCGGGGAGGCGGGCGGGGTGCGCGGCCTCCCCCGCACCTCTCTCCGCCGGGGTGGGGAGATGGGGAGACGCTGCTGCCCTGATCCCCGCGGGGAGCAGCACGGGATATAAAGGCGAGAGGTGCGCGGGAGGCAGGCGTGAGCGGGGAAGCGGGGGAAGGGAACAAGGGGAGACGCGATCCAAGCTGGGAGCAGGGAGCGGCCAGCGGAGCCAGGAGGGCGGGGAGGCGAGGCGAGCTTCGGGGAGCAGGGCGGCAGAGCCGGCCCTTCCCTCCCGCTGGTGTGGGACCGGCTGCCCGGCGAGGCTCGGCCGCCGGCTCCCGGCGTGCTGCTGACGCCGCCCTGGCAATAGCCCTCTCTTTTCCACAATAGGGCCACCAGATCTGCCATTCAAGGGTTCCGGCACCCTCCCAGGGAGGGGAGGGAGCTCTCGCCAGGAGTTTGGCTAAGCCTCTGTTTGAACAGACACTCGGAGGTGCGGGATCTCCTCCGCGGAAACCTGCGGGATTTCCTCAGGGAGCCAGACGCGAAGGTAGGGCTCACGTTCCTTACCCCTAGGGCC